GGATAGATTATGATGAGACATTTGCCCCTATAGCTAAGATGACCACCGTTCATCTATTGTTGGCTATATCTGCAATAAAACATTGGGAAATTCATCAGATGGATGTCAAAAATGCTTTCCTGCACGGGGACCTCAAGGAAACTGTTTATATGAAGCCTCCACCAGGATACTATGATAGCTCTCCCCTGGTATGTCGACTCAAAATGTCCTTGTATGGTCTTAAACAAGCTCCCAGGGCTTGGTTTGAGAAATTTCGTTCAGTGATCACAGATGCAGGATTCACCCAGAGCTCTTCAGATTATTCATTGTTCATATCGAGGAGTCCCCAAGGAATTACATTTTTACTTCTTTATGTGGATGGCAGTCTTATTACCAGTGATGACAGTCAAAGCATTTCCTCTCTAAAATAGCTTCTTAGTCAGTCTTTCAAGATGAAAGTACCTTGGTCATCTCACTTATTTCTTGGGTCTAGAAGTTACTCACTCTCCCTGTGGGTATTTTGTTAATCAACACAAGTATGTGATGGACCTTGTGAGATCTGCAAACCTGAGTAATGACAAACAAGTTAACACACCTCTTGAGATGAATCTAAAACTTTCTAAGGATGATGGGGACCCCTGAACAGATGCCACTCTTTATCGACAGCTTGTCGGTAGTCTGATCTACCTCACCATGACACGTCCAGATATCTCTTATGCGGTTCAAGTGGTCAGTCAGTTTGTCTCTTCTCCTCAACAACCGCACATGACTGCAGTCCTTCGCATTATCAAATACATTCGTGGAACACTTTCACATGGCGTCTTCTTTCCTGCATCTCCTTCGCTTAGCTTATCCGCATATGCAGATGCTGATTGGGCAAGATGCCCAAACACTAGAAGCTCCACTACTAGTTGGTGTGTTTTCCTTGGTGACTCTCTTACATCCTGGAAGTGTAAGAAGCAACTGACCGTTTCTAAATCATCTACTAAGGCTGAGCATAGGGCTATGTCATCCATCTGCAGTGAGGTTATATGGCTAAGAGCCCTCCTTAATGACCTTGGTATCTCCTTGTCATCCCCAGTTCCTATTTATGCTGACAATGTGAGTGCTATCGAGATTGCATCCAATCCGGTCTTCCATGAGTGCACCAAATATATAGAGGTTGACTGCCACTTCATTAGAGACCAGTTTTTTGCTGGACACATATCTCTACCACACGTGTCTTATGCCCTACAGCTTGCTGACATATTCATGAAGGCTATAACTTGTGCTTGCCACCAGTTTCTAGTTGACAAACTGATACTCGTACCTCGGCATCAGTTTGAGGGGGTGTAGAGATTGATTTATGTTTCTTACATCTTCTTTCCTTTTTTGGCCCTTGGGACCACTCTTTTATGTTGTAACTTATCTACACTATCTTTTGTTTTATTCTTTCTTGTAAGACAAGGACATAACTGTCCTTTCCATAAGTTAAACATTTCTGGGCGTGTGATTCAAGAGAGAACACATCCTTTTCACTCTCAGCTTTTTCTTCTGTTTTGATCTAAGTTGACAGTTTGCACTCCCTATGTTAGTTCAAAAGAACAACTAAAGGTCTCCATCATCACAAAGACTTGTGTGACAAGTTGGGCATGATTGACATCTATGTCCCAACTTGAGGGGGAGTGTTAAAACTATTAATTTCTTATATGTTTGTGTATATGTAGTGTCGTAGGGGCACAAAAGTCTTTTCCTTTTATTTTATGTGTCACCCTATATATAATGTTTAGAACTGGTGCCACCAACAATTTTTTAATACTCCAATTGATCTCTTCTCTTCTCCTCTCCTTCTCTCTCTCTTCTCTTCTCCTCTCTCCATCTATTTCCACTGATAATAGATATGTTTCCTTTTCTCAGTAAAGAAAAAGCCATTTTAGCTTACTATATTTTCTACCTTTCTCTATTTCCTAATAAAACTCTTTTATATCAACTAAAGGAAAAAGGGTCATGGGAGAAAAGGCTTGTCTTCTCAAGGAGAATTTATGCAAGTATAAATTCTTATGTTTCTCAGATTGAGAAACTACCTTGGAAGAAAGTCAAGCATACTTTGGGGGGTCGGGGGGATGATTTTGTTTATGAAAATAACCTGAAATCAATGCAATATTAAATGAGAAAAAAGAGAGAGTGAAGAATAGCAGAAAACAGTACCAAGAACAATAGAGAGAAGAGAGTATAGAGAGAGAAAAGCATTTGGTGCAGCAAGAGACTGATTTCTTCCTATCTGCCACTTAACTTATTTTATTATAAATAGAAAAGGAAATTACAAATTACCCCTATTTATGTAAAGTAATTACAGACAAATAAACCTGCTACCTATAATTCTAATACTACCCTCAAGCTGGAGCATAAATATCATAAAGTTCCAGTTTGTTACAAATGTAATCCATCTGTGAGCAATTTAGACTTTTGGTGAAGAGATCGGCTAACTGATCCTCCGACTTGACATATGAGATAACAATATCACCACTTGCAACTTTCTCTCCCACAAAATGGCAGCCAACCTCTATGTGTTTAGTTCTTTCATGAAAAGTGGGTTGGAAGCAATACATGTAGCAGCTTGGTTGTCACAAAACAACTTTATGGGCTTAGACACAGGAATTCCAATCTCCTTTAACAAAACTCACAAGCCATATGCATCATTGCCCTATACTCAGCCTATGCACTGCTTTTAGAAACTACATTCTGCTTCTTACACTTCCAAGTGATCAACATCCCACCTAGGAAAGTGAAATAACCCATGCTGAACCTTCTAGCCACTAAGGATCTTACCTAATCTTCATCTGAATATCCTTCTAATGACAACTATCCCCCCTTCTTATATAACAAGCCATGACCTGGAGCACCTTTAACCATACCTTTTCCACATACACCTCTACCAGATCCTCCACCCCTAGCCGCAGCCAAAGTTGACCTCTCTAAAACAAAATTAGATCTCCTAATTCGTGAGAACACTTCAGAAAGAGATGGAATATCACTACTACCCCAAATTTGAGCATGTGATAGCTCATATTCAGCTCTCAAGCCAAGTAGAAACCTTGCAACATCAAGGTGCTCCTTTTACTGTTGTTGTATTTTCAAGTTTGTAGATAGGGGCTAGTACACATTCAAGTCATTTCTAAGATTCTTCAAGGATGAAGAATACTCTTCCACACTTTTGTCTCCCTAATAAAGAAGAAAAAACACCTGATACAATTGATAAATTTTGGTAACATTATCTTGACCAGAGTAAAGCTGCTTCATGTAACATTATCTGGGCATTCTTTTGCACTTAATCATTGTAATAATTTGATCCACTTTCTGGCTTGGTATCCTTAATATATTCCAGCTTCCCTTCTCTTGTAAAAAACCTCAACAGACTTTTCCCGAGGAGAACATATTGCTTGTTTGGAGGAACTAATCTGGGATGCCGTTAGATGCTTGAAATAAAGGAGTCTTCTTCTAGTTTGTTTTTAGCTTGGTTGGAAGGATTTTTTTTAGTTTTCTTGATGGGTGTAATCTTAGCACCTGTTAGATGGATGTACTTAGTTTTTCTTTTCCTTTTTTACTATTAAAAAATAATTTTCACCATTCAACTTAGTTGAAGCCATTTGAACAGGAAAAAAAAATGTGGGTTTATCATCAACCCAGATTTGTTTTCACCACCAGAAGCCATAGGAACGGATGAAATAGAGAACCTACTATACTAATTACCAACAGTCTAGTCCACACAATGAAACTCACCACTAGCCTTAAAACTTCAAATAATCAACTGCTTGAAACAAATTTTACACTCACACCAAATTTGCACCCCTTACTAACAGCAAACAATCTCATAAAGACCATGACACAACTAAAACACACTCCCTGTTATAACAGATTTCTCAACTACACCACACCAACTGATGCAGGCATCAAAATCTGCATAGAACTTATCTCAAACAATCATTTGGCAGCCCTCTTTGAACTGCCAAGTAGAGGGACTCTGTTCACCACTCAACTCACAAAATCTGAACCAAACCGAGGCATAACAGCCACCTTTTCCTTGATCTGATCAGTTACACCATCACTGACTGTGTTTCTCTATGTGCAAAAGAAGAAAACTCCTATGTGCAGATTGGTTACAGTCTTAAAGAAGAAGGAATTGGTTCAGGATATCAATGGTGCTTGATACCATGAAATTAACCTAAAATCAATGCAATATTAAAAGAGAAAAAAGAGAGTGAAGAATAGAAGAGAACAGTAGCAAGAACAATAAAGAGATCAGAGAATAGGGAGAGAAAAGGGTTTGGTGCCAAGTAGAGGGACTTTATTCACCACTCAACTCACAAAATTGGAACCAAACTGAGGCATAACAGCCTCCTTTTCCTTGATGCAATCAGTCACAACAGCAGACTGTGTCTCTCTAGGCGCAAAAGAAGAAAACTCCTATGTGCAGATTGATTACAGAAGAAGGAATCAGTTCAGGTTATCAATGGTGCTCTGATACCATGAAAATAACCTGAAATCAATGCAATATTAAAAGGAAAAAAAAGAGAGAGTGAAGAATAGCAGAGAACAATAAAGAGAAGAGAGAATAGGGAGAGAAAAGGGTTCAGTGCAGTAGGAGATTGATCTCCTCCGATCTTCCGTCCAACTTATTTTATTATATAATAGAAAAATACATTACAAAATTAGTCCTGTTTATGTAAAGTAAAGAAATAAACCCGCTGCCTATAATTCTAACAGTTTATATGGTTTGTAGGAGGTGAATGTAAAGTTATATTTTGTTCTTTTTTCTTTATAAATTAGGAAATGCTTATTTTATTTTCATGTGCATTTTTCCATGTATTAATATAATACTTCTGTTACCAATCAAAAGAAGAAAAGGTAACGATATATTTTGTTACTTTCATCTCAAAATCATCAAATAAAGGATGAATGCATTATCATGGAACTACTTAAAAAAAGTCCTTTGCAATACATACTTTCAAAGGGCAGTTATCAAAAACAATATGTATACATACTTTCAAAGGATGAAATGAAACTGAAGGGAGATGCTTGAAGAGCCTAATTCCAAGAAACGTTTCCAATTGCTTCTGGCGGGAACTATCGACAACTGCATTTTTGTACCTTCTTTGCAAAGTTATCTTCATATTCTGTGCAGCAGAGAACTGCTTAAATTTGCCAGGTTCATCAGTAAATATGCTGAGGATTTGGCTATGCATAGCTTTAGAACCAGTATACAATGTTGCATGAATATCACCAGCCAACAAGAAAAGGTCAGCAAGCTGAGATATTGGTGATAATATTGTTGACTTCTTGAACTCTTCGAATGACATGTCAAATCTCTTCCAAGGTTTATCCGGACATGGATGCATCCAGGTTGTTGTCCTAGTGTTGTGATCAATATAATATGTTTTTCCTGTTACAGCATCAGAACGTTTCTCCCAGCCTGGTGGCAAAGGAGCAGTATACCCACCAGAATTATATACTGAAGCCAAATCAGTGTCAAGTGATATCCCTAGCCGCCTACATTGCTCTACAAAAACTTGGAGGGACCCAAAATAACTAGCAGCATTGGTTCTGTCCAAAGAATCTGCACAGTTAAAACGTATTACCCCACTCTGGCGAGATCTTAAGCAGAAAACACCCTCAAAGTCTTCATTATACACCAGCTCTCCTTGGCAATCATTAAGTTGTTGCCGTGAGAGAAGATAATCTCCTTCAGAAATTCCTACAGATATTGTAGGTTGTTTCAGGAGTTTCCAGAGCCCTTCAATTGTCTGTTGTTCACCTTTCAGTTTTACACTTGCATGCCAATCATAATTTATTAAATTAAGCCGAGTGTGCAGAAGTTTCCCACTTGATCTAATATGGTTCATGGATTCTTCAAAATGCTGTACCAAAATGGACTCAGATTTTCCCTCCCCATTTCTGAGCAAGTTGACACATAAAATAGGAACCAAAGGACTTTTGTTCTGATTTACTCCATCAGTTACTTCTATATTGTGAGCACCATACCTCTTACTTAACCTCTGGTAGTATTGCAAGCTTCCCTTATAAGGATTATCTGAAACATAAATTTCTGCTTCTGCAGCAGTGATCCTCAGTTCTGCACCCCACCGGATTGGTATGGTGCCTCGTCTCCAAACATATGTATTAAAAGGAACACTTTGGCCATTCCTCCTAGGAACCCATACAAGTTGCTCGCACTCCACTTCATTTCCTGTTAAATCCACATTTTTAATGAGTTCAATGGAATTACATTATACTGCAATTCCATGGTGATATTCATGTTAAAAAATATGAGTTTTTTCACATTACAATGACCTGAGGTGACAAATAACATTGTAATAAATAATAATTACATCTCTTCATTAACAATAGAAAACCAAGAATTTGAAGTTTAAGTATAGAAATGTAAGAGTTCTAAATGACAATATACATAAGCAAGGTTCAAAGTTTCATTACACCCCAATATGCCAGACGGTTCTTATCGGGTGTTTCAATCACACTCCTCCCTTTTTTTTCGATTTTTTTAATAGGTCAGGGGGTCGGTCTTAGACCTGCCCACCCCCTGAAATTGATCAAAACCCCAAAGCACTTTGATTTCAAGTATTAGGGGCCTGCCAATACAATACAATATGCCCGATACAGGTTGATCGTATCAAAACTTGAACCTTGCACATAAGTTTCCTTCCTCTTGTGGACCAATAATGAAATCTGAAAAAGTGGTCCAACCAGTGGCTAATTATATGGACATGCAGAATGGTAATAGGGTATGGAACCCCCAATTCTGTAGAATTCCAAATGGTTGGGAAGTGACATCCCTCATTGATCTGTTACAGTTGCTGTACAATAAAAGTTTGATTGAGGGAAGGGAGGACAGGAGTACATGGGCCTTGGAGAAATGAGGAAACTTAACTGTAAGATAAATTAAATAACAGACTGGTAAGGGAAGAAATTTCTGATTTCTCAAGTTCAAGAATTTGGAACAGTAATATCCCATCCAAACTGTCATTTTTGTTTTGTCTAAACAGCAGCTCTAAACAAAATCTAAACCAGAGAAAATTTTATGAGAAGGGATATAAAAGTGGATGATATGAGTTGTGTATTATGAAGTAATAATATGGAATTAGCAGCCCATTTATTACTTCATTGTGAATCTTCTTACAGGATATGGAGTAGAATGATGTATCTCTTTGGGGTGGGTTGAGATGTGTTTCTGGGGAGATATTAAGAGCTTCCTAGGACCTTGGAATTTGAAAGGTTTGGGTAAGGGTGGAAGAGTGGCTTGGAATATTATTCCAGCAGAAGTATTGTGGGTGATATTTTTTTGGTGAATTGTGAGCCGTGTGGGAGGAGAGAAATGCTCAAATTTTTTAAGGGAAGCAGGCTTCAATAGAGGAGGTTATAAAGAGGGTTTTGGGTATGCTGCATTCATGGAAGGCAAATCATAGATTATTCAAAGGAAAGCCATACAATACCTTTTTGATAACAAAAATATTTTTGTGAAGCCATAGGACTAGTTTTTTATATATGTCAGTCCTTATGGTTGTATACCCTTTGTATAGTATAGATTCTCATTGTACAGGGGAAGCTTTTTGTACCTCCTTATACATTTAATGAAATACTTTACATGTTCCAAAAAAATGAGAGGTCTAACCAAACTCTTCTAACATGAAAGAGCACAAAGATTGAGTCCGGATTTGCTCATCACACACACCTCACTGCACATTGCAGCTGCGCATCGGGTACATCTCCCACACTTGTATGTTTTCATTCATGGGGAGGTGTTCCAATTCACGGCTGAAAGTGCTCTGAGTGGGTATGAGGAGCATTCTGTAAGGAGTAAATTCAGATTCATAAATATTGGTGTGGTAGCAGTATCTCCCCCCAAAGTCTAACCTGGTAAGGTTACCTCCCAATACAGATCTCCATGCCTGACCCTGTCATTAGCCAATGCATCTGCTAACTGATTTAGCAGACCTTTGGACCAGTGATTTAAAAGGAGCGCCTAGGCACACAGGCAAGGCGCATTTTGGGGTATGTGCCTCGCCCAGGTCCTAGGCGCACCCCTTTCAAAAGGCGCACGCCTGATGTGCTTAGGCACACATTGCAATAAAATATCTTCTTAAAAGGCAACGTAAGTTATAAAATCATTATTTTTTATGTGAGAAATAGGAATTTCAGACCCTAACATAGACTTGTTCGGGCTTGCCTCGAGGGGCATGGTACAAAGGCGACTCATAGAATCGAGAATACAATATGTTTTACATCACATTAGCTACTTGAAGTTGAAGCAATGAAATTAAGGAGAAAAAGAGATTGTGGGTTTTACATGCTTGAAAATGCTTTATATATTTGCTTTTATTTTTAAATTTTCATTTGAATACACTTTACGTGTTATGTTTATGTATTTTAATTTTAGATAATAGGTTTTTTAAAACATTTATTTTAAAATTTAAGTTTATATTTTTTTACTAACATTATTTTTAATACTTTTTGCATTTTTTTTTAATTTTTGGCATTTTTTTTGAATTTTATGACTTTTTTTTTTATTTTTTAGCTTTCTTTTTTGTAATTTTGTGCCTTTCTTAAAAAGGTTCGTGCCTCGCCTTGCGCCTTGCGCCTCAGGCGCAAATTGGCCCTTGCGCTTTTAAAACACTTCTTTGGACCTATTTGAACAAGATATTCATGCTTGAGATATAAAAAATTAAAAAATATATATCTATTTGCAAGCCTCCAAGTGCCTTGACAACCTTCTCTCAAGTCTCAACTACCATATCTGTCTATCACCACTTAGGAGTCCCCTTCTAACCCTAGACTGGTGTAGTAGACCAGCAACTATACTCCCTGAAGAATAGTCATGGTCTCAAGAACAAAACCCTGAACTCCCCACACAACATCTATCAAAATTCAACTTGGTAGAGTCTTGTGGGTAGAATTCAATTCCAATGTTTTGTTGTATGACCTGATCCTTCCTGATCAATGAAGAGGCCACAGTTCCAAACCCATTGTATCATCAGTGCTAAAGACGCTGAAGACTGAACTCCCCTTGGGCAAAGCTGCACATATCATTGCTTCAGAAGCCTGCCTCCTGTTTAAGAAAAGTCTAGCATTCCTTTCTTCCCAATGAAAATGTTAGCAATTCTTTTTCCTTGTTATGTGCATTATCCAAACAATTTATCTGAAGAGAAAAAGAGGAATACTAATGGATTGAAGGGGGACAAAATACTTTGAATTTAAAAAATGAAATGCATGCCTTTTTTTAATTTTTGACTTGCACATACATCTAGTATGTTCCCCAGAAGTGGTTCACTATCTTTAACTTTAGTTCTATAAAATGTGAGCAAAATACCAAACAAGAACTCTAACATAATTAACGAGGAGTTTGAACAATAATGATATTCCAGGATGGCTTTTTTGTCAGTAACAGTAAATTTTATTGCTTTATAAAATATGATACAAACTTTAAATGAAATTCAGTATAGTAGAACACATCATTCCCAGATGATCCAGTACCCTACTGCCCCCCCAAATAGACATCAGTAGGCCCCTTCCTTTAAACTAATCAGATAGTTACCTCACCAGAGACTGTCTGCTGACCCCTTCCAGAGCTAGTGAGTCAGCAGTGGAGTTTTCGGACCTAGGCACCCAACTTAGCTCTACCTGTAAGACATGGATTATAGATTTAGCTTCTCTAATTTGGTTTTCCTCCATGGACCCTCCAGTGGGCCTCACGGCCATGCAATAATAGTTCTGGAATACCCTTCAACAATCAATTCCCTGAACTCCAAGGATTTTGCCAACCTTAAACCTTGAAGCATTGCCATCAGTTCTGCTCCAATGGAGTTTCATGGCCAATGGACCCAGAAAATGCAAATAAGATATCACCATCATGGTTTCTATACATACCTCCAATGCCAGATTGCCCTGGTTTCCAAAGCTGCAGCAATTAAGATATTCCAGGAGCATTCAACTTGTGCATGAAACATTGAGGCTTTAACAAGGAAGAATGGATATGGATGATACTATGAAAAGGAGAGTTAATATAGCATATTGACAGAAGACTGAGTGAAAAAAGAATAGAAGCTAAGAAAGTTCACCATCATCATCATCATCCTTGACAGGGCTTCCCTCTTTCTTTAGTACAATACATATTTGCTTTTCAAAAAAAAAAAAAAATTATCATCATCTAAGCCTTGTCCTAACTATATGGGGTCAGCTACATGAATCCTGCTTCATCATTCCGTATTGTTTAGTGCCACATATGGCAGAGTACTGATGATAATAGGGGAGAGATGATTGTGAATAAAGACTAACAATAAAATTGTAAGTTTGATTGTATACTGCCTGTTTCTCAGCAGTTAACATTAATTTTATGGCTGCTTCATTGTTAATCTGGTGCCTTCAGGGATTGAAGGTTCTAAAGAGAAGGGAGGGAGTATTCTATTTTTCCTCGGGGCCTACCATTGCTGGGGATTTTAGTGCTTCTTCAGGACCCAGGATTATGTACCCCATAGGAATATGCCAGGCAGAGATAGAAGGGGACTCTTAGGTGGTCATTGAACAAATGAGAGACAGAGAGGAATGGCCTTGGATACTTAACCATCCTATCAAAGAGGCTAGATCCCTCACATCCAAAATATACATCTCATTCAGACAGGTGCCAAGATATGCCAATTCTTTCATTTCTCTTGTAAGGCCTAGAGTTGGGAGACCCAAGCTGTATTTGGAGTGTCTGTTCCCAGATAGTTCTGCCTTTATATTCTTAGTTTTTTTTTTCTTTTTTTGGATTCTTTAAATAGGCTGCCTGATGTGCTCTCTCTGGCTGTTGTAGCTTTTTGTTTTTTCAGTTTTTCCAGGGCTTATCATCTCCTTTTTGAGAAGGCAAAAAGATTGTACTTTAAATGAAGCTTGTAGGATTAAGATATCAATGACAAAATTTTGTCAACTATCTTCATTTCAGAAGTGATACACCTCAAGCAAGACTAGGTGATAGTATTAAAATATAGTTTTACAAACAAAGAAATGAATTAAAATAAAGGAACAACCAATAGAAGGAGAATTTTGTTGAAAAAGATGGATATGAGTGTGGTTGTTTGTTGGACTTTCTTCATTCGTATTTTTATATAGGGGATTTTTCTCTTATCGCCAGTTATTGTACTGTTTTTCATTTCATGAATTTTCTTTCATTAAAAATGATTTTTTCTTTCTCACAAGCAAAAAAAAAATCATCTTTCCTCCTTCCTAATGAATTTTTCTTTCACAAGCAAAAAAAATCTCAGGGAAAGCCTACTTTCCTAAAAATTTATATCCTTATTCCTCTTTAATTCAATGAACAACTATTGAAAGGCTTTGTAAGGACAAAAAAATTTTACCTGTGCCAAAACATGAATTCAGCCCTCTAGCCAAGTATCGAGTACCAGGATGCAGTTTACTGCGACGAGCTAGAAGAGCAACTATTCCTTCTTGCTGACCTGAGCTTCCAAATACTCGAGCTTCTGCAAACCCCTAGAAATAAATGTCAATAGAAATGAATATTATGAACAAATTAGTTTGAGAACAACCAAAGATGGTACATTAAAACTTTATGGTTGTTACAACACTTAGATCAATGCCAATGTGAATTGCAATCTTGCACAGTTTCACAGGCAACTAAAACTGAAAGTGATAAAAGGAATGGTGAAAGGAACAGAGTCCATACAAAGCTCATAAAATGTGCATTGAGCTCAGATACATGGTTTAAGTCGGAATAAGAAAATCTTCTATCAGTACAGCTAAAGAAACAGTTTTGAAGTGAGACAACAGTCAAGAGGTGCAAAGCATGACGCAAATGTTATTTATTGTCTGATTTAATAAAATTTCATAGAATAATCATAAAAAAATCATAGAAATACTTCAAAGGGAAAAAACTAAGATACTGTTTTTCTTTTGTTTGTAGAGAGAAAGAGAGAGAGAGAATCATATACTGATTAAAACATTTCGCTATTACCTCAAAAGAACTAATCTCAGAGATCTAAATAAATTCTAAAAGAAGTGGATGAATTAAGGTTAATTGAACAGGGAAAACAGTGCACCAAGTATGGAGTAAAAACCTGCAGAAGAATAGCACAGTGTTGTGCCAGCCCAATTTCTTTGAAAGGCCTTGAAAACCAGCCATTCCAAACAAACTCATCATCTGGATTTTGCAATGGCATAGGACTTGGAAAAGGTCGAGTGATGTCCCTTGTTTCACAGTAGTAATGCTTCCCATCAATGTCAATCTCAGCAAATTCTTGAATGGTCTTTAGCTCCCCTTTACCCTGAGGTTGGGGATTTTGAAGTGGAATCTTGATCCATTGGCTCTCAGTGACAGTATATACACATCCTCCACCAGGTAAATTTGGTATGGTGGAGGTCAATTTAGTTGCAACTAGAAGCAATCCAAAGCTTCCTAAGGCAGAATAGCCCAGTATTGCCCTGGCATAAGTTCTACTCTTACACAACAGCCACCTTGATCCATTTGTTATGTAGTTCAGAGCTTCATCTTCAGAACCAAAAACATCAATTCCCTTCTTCCCATTGTAGCCCAGTGATCCAGTTGTTGGATCAACATAAATCACCTGGGTATCACTCCGCGTAGACAAGCTGACAACAATATATACTTCTCCAGTATTGAGAATAACAACAACAACAGAGGTATTCCTTAAACAAACTGCAAAGGAACACCAAAATCGTGAATTTAGCAAGGAAGCACAAAAAGGGATATCAACAGACAATTTAGGACACTGAGGTCCCAAGAACTCTCATAATGATCCTTCATCTATGTTTTACAGTAAACATAAAACATTAATCAGCACTTTACAATCAATGAGCAAAAGTTCTTCAATCATACTTTTGATCACAAAAGTATATAGTGCAGTCTAAACTTCAAGCAATTTTAAATTTGGCAGATGTATAGACCTGTTCATTGGCAGGTAGGCCCGTTTTAGGCCCATTTTGAGGACTGCAGGCTCGGGATCGGGCTGAAGTATTAGGCCCGATTATCTTTCGGGCTAGGCTTGGACTTTTTAAATAATCCTGGCCCAAGCCCAATAATATTATAAATAATAAAAAAATATATGTTAGTAATAGGTATTAAGTAATAATTTGCATTTTTATTTTGTCTTTTGTATTGTGTGTGATTTCTTTTGGGTTTGAACTTAGTTGTTTATTTGTATCTTGGGCAGCAATATTTTTTATGTGCAAAATGTGATTGGATAGGAACACGTTAAAAAATATGGAATCAGAAGATAGAATTAAGATATTGCATAATGTACACCAGGCTTCGGGCTTTATATTAGGGCCAGGCTTGGGCTCAAGCCAGGACAATTTCTGTTAATAAGTAGTAAAGCCTGGTCCAAGCCCGGCCCATGAACAGGTCTACAGATGCACACTGGGACTACCCAATCAATGACATTTTGAACCATGGTCTGTCTAGGATAGTCCCTATTTGGATTAGTTAAACCTATAATACCTGAATACCTGTATAAGGGAGCTGTATTGTGTCAGAAAATTCAATTTTTAGTGTAAATTTCATATTAATCATCTGTCTAACCATGTCCTTGCCACATTTAGGTAATCTGAACTGATGAGCATATGCACTGCACTTTTCATCTGTTGGACCTATTTAAGATTTTTCATATTAAGATGAAGGACTTATGAAATTGACGGAAGAAAATAAAGACCATCAGGTGAAATACTGAAATGAAACAAAGTACTTGCACCAAAAAAGTCAAGAGGATTAGGAGTGAGGCAGTTGGAGACATTATTGGGTTGGGGGGAACTCAACTGGGACTGAGAGAAGATAGAAATGTTCATGGGTGAACGATTCAGAGAGGAACTGAAAAAAAAAAAAAAAAAAAAAAAAAAATCAATGGAATCTTGAAGGTCTTTTGAGCACCTCTCCATGGATGATATCTTTCGTAACTGGTTTCTTCTTCCTCTTCATTTAAAAAGGTGACAATTTGGCAATGGAACCTGCCTAGCCCAAACTATCCAAACTAAATTTTGATGGGTAATCCTGGACTCTCAGATAATGGAGGGGTTTTTCATAGATCACCAAGGACATACAATATCCTTGTATTCAGGACCCAAAACTCTTTGTAGAGAAGATGGGCCAAATGACCCACGGGCTGTTATTCTTTATTACTGTTTATGTTCCTTTCTGTAATGGACCTTATTCTGGGCTCATCCTCTTCTATGTTATGTTCTTGTAATTTCTTGCCCAACTAAGGGCTCCCCCTTGTAATTATTCAAAACTAACTTAATGAAATAGTGTTAGGGTGTTAGAGGGAGAGTGAAGTTCGAACCTCTCATACTCTAACCCTCTTTGCTGCCATCTCCCTCTTCATCTTCTACTCAATAGAAGCAATCTTCTCTGCAGTTTTTTATTCCTTTTGATTTCTACATCTATCCTAAACAGTCCCACACTCTCAAGGACTGTTTTTCTTCTCTCTTCAGGGCTGAATTGATGACAGTGGTTAAAGGACTGCATCTGGAAAAGTCTCTAAATGTTAGAAGGAGATTCATGAGTTATAGTGGGCTGGCCTAAAGCTCACGGCACTACAAAGACATAAGGACACATTTAAGGAAATAAAGGTGTTAACAAGAAGGATGGAAGCTGATTATGCTGATTCACAGATCAGGAACACTTTTGCTGATGTACTATCCAAACAGGAGGTAAATAGAGACCACTTATTTTGGGGAGGAAAGAGGATTTGGAACTGAAATGTATCTGGAAATTTGGGTTTGGTGGCAGTAGCCATCCAAAATTGGGACTGCAAGGAAGTTTGTAGATAAAGTATTATTTCTTTTACTCAATAAAGTTATCAGTTAACTATCAAAAATAACAAGGAATCAAGTACAGAATAAGAGATGGAACACGAGTGAGATTTTGGAAGTACCCATCATGTAATGACCACCCTCTAATGGTTTATTTACTTATGAATGTGAGGAATAGAAATGCTCTAGTATCTGACTGTTTTGTTATCCAAAATGAGCAGATAACATGGCATCCAGAATTAAGACAAAATCTGAATGATGAGAAATCAATTCCATGGCAGAGCAGTTAGACTGTACCCAGTCCTAGATGATACAATGATAGAAGATCAGATAAATCTGTTTCATTCACAACTAGACCTCTATTCAGTAGACTGAACCGTACACCATAGTGTATTTTTCCTTCTCAAAGATCTGGATATCACCAGTGCCTGAAGGTGGTGTTAGCATTGGGAAAGCGTTTAGCATACAATGGTCTGTGTTGAAAACGAATGGAGTCAACAATAAAATTTTTTTGTTGTTTTCAACTCATTCAGAGATGGATTTGTGCACTGCAACCTGTCCAGCAAGGTGTGGTTGAAGTGAATGGAAATTCTCAGAGTGAAAGGATGTTTCCCAGCCACCACTGGAGCTTGATTTTATGGGTGGTTTTTCAATGGCCTAAGAAAAAGAAGAAAAATCATTTGGGATATTATACCTTTCGTCATATTTGGGATCCTACGGGGTGAAACAAATGCCCACATTTTGTGCAAGATAAGTGATATAAATATTGAGAAGTAGTGGGTATTCTTTGCTTGTGGTTGTTAGTGTATGGGATATCAAATCCTTTTTTATTAGGATAGTTTAAAAATGAACTGTAATCTTGCAATATAATGACTTTGGTACATTCATAATGTACAGTGCCTTGGTGTAATGGGTGCCAATCCTTTTGTATTCTCTTGATATGCAGTGTAATTCAATACTACTTAGGAATACAACTAGTGTGCAGCGGGGCTAGCATCTAATTATGACTTAACAATTCTGTCAGGTGGTTAGCCAAGTATAACTATCCTCTTTGGGGATATCTAATAAAGATGCATTCTATGTACATATCTATTCTTTTTTCTCATTTAAAAAAAAAATAAAAAATCAGTTTCCAATCAAAAAAATACCATAGTTATCAATCAAAAAAAAATTACATTAAGATTGCAATCTATACCAAACAAATATCTAAAGATGTAAAGAGGCTGTCTCATTATGTTTATCCGTGTGTCAGAGAGAGAGAGAGAGAGGATGGAGGAGGAGGAGGGATTTTCGTATAGGAATTCTGGTATTAGATTTGGATGATATGATAAAGGGGGAAAATGCTTTCTAATCTGGAACATCAAGTTGATAGATGACCTCAAAAATTCACCCATTGACCAAATTCACACCATGACAATGAAGTCCCAACTAGTTACAATACCAAATGTAGTTTCAAAATAGAAACAACTTTCATGGTTTACCAGCTGATTCCATAAGTGCCACAGTGAACTGCTTCAACAATTCTCTGAAGGCTTTAGTTTGATAATCCTCAACTGGAAAAGAAAAGGGAAATAACAATAATATGATTAAATGAAAATATCAAAGAAAAGGTATAAAAAACATAGAATTGCTGGAAAAGTAATTAAACAAATTAAAGTAGTTGAAGTTCACTTGACTGGTTGACCCAAGATTTCTCTTGGGTTGGAAGGATAGGACTTTAACAGCAGTCACGAATCACCACGCACACATCAATGCTTTCTATCTGAAAGACCAACCAAAAGACACTTCATACTTGTATACCAGAACAAACCCTTGGAAAAACTAGAAGTAGTGAACAGCATCAAGGGACTTGAAGAAGTCTCAAAAGCTTACCATGAAAAATTAATTACTGAAGAGTATCAAATATTAGTTGGAAAAGGTTGTCATGATAAATGACATTTCACTCAACAGTGCACTACATGCATACTTAAAACTCAATGGGAATCCAGTACAACTGGCCTACCAAAATTTTCGAATCAGACATTTACTTTGGTTGAGAACATATCTTCACCCACTTATCACTATGCAGTAATTCATAAGGACAGCAGCAACAATAAAAAGGCTACCATGTGTTTACAGGCAAAGCACTGAGAATGAAACATACAAGGAGCCTTATTGCATACAATCTCGTGTACATGAAAAAAAAAAATGAGTACTCAATAACCTTGCGAGAAAAAAATTGATCGCCTTGATGAGTGATTATATGGAATGGATAAGAAATGGGTCAGTTCCATACCCTGGGTACCCATTGCATTTCCATATGACATATATGAGCGAAATTGTTGTAAACATAACTTGCGAGAGAATATCGATACGACAAAGGATAACATTATGTTCAAAAGAATATGGATAAGTGAAAGAGGTCCTTTCTTGGCAGATCATCTTCCACCGAGATCAATCAAAGCACCTACTCCACATGCTTCCCGCTGAATACATAAGCAAATGCCGGATATCCACTAATTGCATTGAACAATGCAATATCAATAGAAAATCAATACTTTGCACCTTGTAAAATCAATATGCCATACGGACGAAAACGAATGATCTTTTCTTTAACGATGAAACAACTAATATATCCATGATAAGCCACTTCCAAGTTAAATGATGGATCGATCTACAATGTGCACATGAAGAAGAATAATGTTTGAATAGAAAACCAGTAGATAAGTCTTTTCAGGCCACCAGGGATCAATTTAACAAGTTTCCTTTTGAAAGAGATAAGAATGCATAATTTCATAAAATAATGCAGTGGATTAACGTAATTTAGTTTCTCCACAACGAATAAGTTAAGGATCGAATGCAAAACAAACAATAGAAGAGACATTGATCAGATAGAGATTAATGAAGGTATTACCTCATTAATATGGAAAATTTGATATGTGACTGAAGATCATTTTATGTGATGACCAGAGAAAGAAGAAGAAGAAGAAGAAGAAGAAGAAGAAGAAGAAGAAACCGATAAATTTTGTTTTAGTTAATAGTCTCTGTACGGTTAGAGCTTCCCAGCTCCTCGGATCTTTGGATTGGCGGTAAAGAAAAAATATTTTTATACTTGTTTGTGAAGGGTGAAACCGTAAAAGTAAGAATATAAAGGAGCTGGGATCTGCTGACCACAAAACATTGTGTACAGACATCCACAGCGGAGAAGATGTTCCCAATGAACGGCTGCGGTGTTATATGCACACGATTAAGACCAGCAGATTCGGCCTCTGTCGTTAATCGCTACGCACTTTACTTCGCTATTATTTTATTCCTCTTACCTAAAACAAATAAATAATATATTTTAAAAGAAAAATAAATAAATAGATCCAAATGTCCTTGACCAGACATGGTAGATTCTAAAAAAAAACGAGTTCAGTTATATGGACTACGGTTCGAATAATGGGCATCCGAAGTCCGAAAGTCGAATCCACGTAACAGGAGAATTACGACGCCTAAAACACACAGGGGGAATTTGTTTCCACCAATAAAAACACGATCTTCTCACCTTATGGTTGTGTTTGATTTGAAGGAAAAAATAGGGAAAGGAAAGGAAAGATGGAAAAGTTCATATAAGGTTTGTAAAGGTTTTTTTATCTTTCCCTAATTTCCTTTCTTTCTCTATTTTTTTCTTTAAACCAAACATAGCCTTAAAAGGCTGTACACCCTGTGAGTTACGATTCCATCTTCGGGCGGGTTAGAGACTTGGAATCTTAGATCAAGTTTAAGGTTAGTGAAAGCTCAAACCTGGACAGAGAATGAGATCGATCGAGTCCAATCTGTCCAATTCAGGCCAAGTCCAAACTAAAACTTGACCCACTCAGGTAAGGCTTGGACCCATGCTGAGCCCAAGCTCGCTTAGGTGAACCTATTAGGACCAAATGACTAATGTTAGGAAAAAAATTGGCCTTCTAATTTGGTGTTGGGTTCATGATCCTGAAAAAAGGCGGTATGGTTCAGAACCATACCAATATTTAAAAAAAAAAAAAATGATGGGCATTTTTGTTCATTCTTTTCTGAATTAGGGGTGCAAGTCGGGCCAGGTTAGATCAGGTTTGTTTAATCCTAACCCAATCCTAAAATTTTGGGTTGGATTTAGGTCGGGCTCGGGTTAGGTTCAAGTTAACCTCAGGTTGGTCTGACTGCTTTACTTCCTTTTGCCAAATGTATTTATTTCCTAAAGTCTGGCTCATATTAATTTAATATAAAAGAAAAATATTTACCTTTAAACTTAAAAATTTTAACATATATACATGCATGCATATATCAATATATAAATATGTATATACATAAATACTTGTAGTGAAAAAATACACAAATATATGCATTTATGGATGTATAGTTGTATATACATATGCATGAATGTATTTGCAAACATAAATATATATTTATCCAATATTATAAATATATATTTATCCAATATTATATATAAAAATATGAAGTAAAGTCGGGTTCAGGTTGGACTCCTTAACCCAAGCCAAAGTTAAGTTGGATTCATTCTTTTCAACCCTAATACAATCCTAAGTCAGGTTCATATTTCAATCTAAGCTTAACCCAAATTTCAACCAAACTCTACTTTTTTTTCAGGCTGAGTTTGGGCTAACTCAGCCCAACTTGCAGACCTATTTTGAACCATGGTATGTGAGATGTTGTCATTGTTTGTTTTTAATGGGGTATGGTTGTAATTGAGTACAAACTTTGGTGTATGAAACCATTATAAAGAGTTCTATCAAGAAAAAATATTATTTTATTGACTCCAAAGCCATCAATAGCATGAAATGGCAAATTAAACGCTGGTTGTATTTGTGAACCACGAGTTCAAATCAGCCCCCCACAACGTCCACATCCCTGTTGTATATTGAGAACATCTCCCGATGATGACATCACCATTTTTTATATCATCATTAGGAGATGTTCCCAATACACGACGGGAATGTACTGTGAGACGTTGTGGGGAACAATCTTGTGGGGGCTGATTTGATCAAAACGTAAATACAACAATAAAAACTAACACCCCCTAAATTAAAAAGACTTGTTGTCAACATGTCTCTCTCCTCACATGGCAATTTAGTATTGGTGCTAAATGCATTATTTGAGTAAACCATGCATGGCACGAAATGTTGGGTTGTTAATGAGTCGAGTTTGACTGAGGACAGGGTGTATCAGTCTTAAACCGGTTATTAATTGGGATAAAATCATAGACACAAAACCATATGGATTATTACTAGAAAATTCTTGAATAGTACCCTGAATTTAGGGGGTTGTGTTAAATCAATCCCCAAACTTCAAAATGTATCTGTTATCTCTATAATACCTTAAACTTTCAAATTGTGTCTAATAGGTCCCTATCATTGGTCAATACCGTCATGTGACATCAGGTGCACATTAAATGATTTCAAAATGATAAAATTATCCTTTATGATATTTTTTCTGATCATTTTATCCATTTCATTTGAGTGTTAGAAGAAGGAAAGGAGAAGAGAGTTATGAAATTAGACACCGATCAACTATTGAAGCTCGTGCTCCCCTGTTCAACAATCAATTGTAACTGGACAATCACATTTACATGTCTGATTTCATAAACCCTCTTCCCCTTCCCTTCTTTTAACACTCACACGAAATGGGTAAAATGGTCAAACAAATATCATAAAGGGTAATTTTAACATTTTGAAATTATTTAATGTGTACTTGATGTCACGTGATGGTGTTGACTAATGATCAACTAACGGCAGGGACCTGTTAGGCACAATTTGAAAGTTTAGGGTACAGTAGAGACGATTTAAAAATTTAGGGATTAACTTAGCATAATCCCAAAGTTCAAAATTCTGTTTAGGAATTTTCCCTAATTGTTTTATGTAAATAACAATGTAAAACTTGATTTTTTATAAGATATTCTTAATAAAAATGACAGCAAAATAGTAAACTATTTATATGTTAATAAATTAGGTGATTTTAACCAAAACAATCCTATATATTATTTATCAAATTTATCCTTTCAAACATTAAATATAATAAAAATTACAAAGTACTATGTAACTTTATATATTATTAACAAAATAATTGGGTTAAAACAAGTATGAACTAGAATCGAACCAATGGTACAAAACCACATAACCAAAACCAATATATTCACTATGGTTTTGTAATTCCTATTCAATTGGTCGAATAGAATTTGACCCGTTGACAGCCCTAATTAGGGGTGGCAACGAGTTGAGTTTTTCACGAACTATTTGAGCTCGGTTCAGCTTGGTTTCAACTAATGCATCGGCAAACCGTTTCAATACTATGTTGTTTGGCGTTTCATGCATCGGTGAACCATTTCCCCCAACGATTGACTGATGTGTATCCTATGTGGTGCTTACCTGTCAACACATACATGAAAAACGGTGATGAAAATCACCTTACCAAATAGCATAGTGTTGCTCATTGCCTACGTGGCGGAAGTTTTTTTTTTTTTTTGTGAAAAATGGGTCTTGAAAGCATGGGTGTTTTTTCTTGAAAATTGGTCCCAAAAAGCACCCACGCTTCCAAACGCCATGTAAATTACCACTTTTATTGTTGGGAGAAAATTCTATGTATTATCTAAATAACAATGTTTATAGAACCAGACCGAGTATAGAACCAAATAAGGGAGAGGATCACGAATCAAAAGTTCAACCAGGGTCGAACCATGATTTTGTGACATATATGTATATATACTACATGTTGTATAAATATTATATATAATATATTTTACAACTTTTAATATATTTAAATATGATAGATAAATAACAACTTTCTTAATTTTTAAAGAAAATGGCTAGATGAATTAGTGGTAATTAAGCAATATATAAAAATAAGATAAGAGGCCAAGTTTTCTTAATTTTATTTTAAAATTTCAAGTATTTAATGGCCCGAGTGATTTCATGAAACCGACACCAGTTCATTAGTTTATGGGTTAAATCGGCTGATCAGCCAATTTTCATTGTTTTTTTAGTAAATACAGTTAGGGTGTGATCTAACGGGTCCAACAGGCCGGTCAGGACCGGTTTTTCTAAACACCACGAAATAATGGAGCATTGTAGCTTGGGTCCGAAGTCATGAGACCGGAATATATATTGGGACCCACCATTGGATGTTTCCAACCAAAATAACAATGCACCAAATCTTACAATCGTTTGTAGGGGCCAACTAGTAATGAGTAAAGTCTCCTACTGATTGCAGTAGAAACTCGATGTGTTTATTCATGTGTCTGTATTTGTAGGTGCCATCTAATATGACTCAAGGTGCTATGGACCATTGTATATGATACATCCATCACAAGGAGCATAGAAAAAGAAATCCCCTTTGTTCCATGGGGCTATGCAACTTGGACTGGGTTGAGGTGTTAGCCCAAGCCCAATCAGAGGAATTCAAAACTAATTGGATCCAACCTGACCCATAGATTGACATGGAAATTAGCATATCAAAATTAGTTTAGGAGAACACATCCATCCATTCTCCTGGATCCTTGTGATATCACACAATGTCAACAAAGTCAAATGATCTCCGAACTTAGATTTAATCTTCATAAGACTATGCTTACACCGTTTTCATAGCCATTTGCAGCTGTGTATTGAGGATTGAATACTGTGTGAACACAATCTCGTGAGGATTGAATCTGATCTCATGATCTTCACCATCGATTATAATATCAGAATAAATCTGGTTAAAGATTTCAAAAGATCGGACGGTTGTAGAGATCAAATTGAATTTAACTCTCGAATCTTAACAAAAAAGAAAAGGATAAATTGCTGAACCACTCTGTAGTCTGTAGTCCGCGCCAACTGCCAAGCGCGCGCCCGCATATCAAAATACCGACTTCACCAGACATTTGGTGCCTTGGTGGGTTCCACCAACTACTTTATTCCTCTCTCTCTCTCTCTGGAAACGCTGTTCTTTTGGGTACTTCTCATAAAAGCCTCTCTTCCCCGAGGCTCCCAAATGAAGTTGGTTTCTTGTTAAAGCTGCATTGAGGTATAGCAGCTGGTTTAATGGCTTTGAAGTCTGTTCCCGTTTGGGTTGCTCTGTTCCTCACATGGGCACCGGAGATTCGGGTTCTAGGCGTTGTGGGCTTACTCTCAGTTGCAAGAACGTGACTGAAATAGTCTGCAAATGGGATTTTAATAGTGTTTATGGGAGTTTATCAGCTCAGCGAGCGGCTAAACCTGTTGAGGATGAGAACCCGTCACCACCCGCAATTGAGTTCCAGCGGTTGATTGATCAGGAGGAGGATTCTGAATAAAGAAAATTGCATAAGGATTTGAACTCTTTACCAAGTCGGTTATGCTATTCCTATTTGTTTTTTTTTTTTCATGTTTTGTCATTATTGTTTTCTTTTTTTCAACGAAGAATGCTCTTAATTTTTGTGAATATTTAATTCAGTATGTATAAGGCACTACAATCCCAGATCTGAATTATAGTTCTTTCTTTCTTTCTTTCTTTCTTTTACTTTTTGGGTGAATTGTATGGTTGTAGTTGCATTATGAGATCTAAAATTAGATCGTTTTGGGCATAGAGAATGCAACTCCATTATCTCTGCCAATCCTATAAAAGGACAGTCAAAGGTAAGCAATCTAAGAAATCAGGATTTCAAAAGCTTCTAGTAGCAGCATAAGTTGGGAAGACTGTTATATTAATGGGTCTCTGAATTGGATAGGCATTGATGTCATAGTAGAAGTGGCATTGAATGGTTGTAGTTGTACCGAAAGAGTTTGTTGATAGAATTTTCTTTTCTAGTTAACCCCCTATGCCTTTTTCCTTTAACTGTTAAAAGGGTGGTTTCTTCTTAGTAATTTGGCCCCTTCGATGAAAATTTTATCATGTCATTAGCTAGTGGATATCCTTGGAGAAATCATGATGAGCTATGAAAAACTCACTCCATTTTCCACATGATATGCTAGAGAAGTGCTTTCCACTTACGCAACATATAGTGTCTAAACAAAGCTGAAATTAGAAGATTACATCTCAGTTTGCAAGTAGAAGATATAATTCACCAATAAGGAAGAAGCTAATATAAGTAGCCAGAAATCAAGTGGTTGAGTTGATTCTTAGTCTGGTTTGGTGAGGCTGTCTAAAGTAGGAGGTTCAATGTTCACTCATAACTTTAGAATTTCAGCAATATGATAGGGTTTTCTGTGTCAATTTGGAAAATATTTCTTCAATGCAATTATTTACAACGTTCTATTTTAAGTTACTGCAATGCACATCAAGTTTGTAAAAGGTCCCCCATTGTCTAATGGTCCTTTATCCTGACCTCTAAAATGTAATGGCCCTAATATTTTTTATAAATTGTAGGGCCATTATCCATAATTAACCGACCTTTCTACTTTCCCAAGTGATGGTTCAAAGGTGCACATTGCATATCAGGTAATTTCTAATATAACAATCACTTGAGCCTTGACAATTTTCATTTGGTTGTTCTTATATTGGGCTTATCAATTGATATAGGGGGTACCGGGTGCATTCAGTGAGGCAGCCGCTCTCAAAACATATCCTAAATGTGAGGCTGTTCCTTGTGATCAGCTCGAAGATGCATTCAAGGTTTAAGAAGATGGAATTTGTGACTAAATCAACCTAGCCATTATTACAGCCTTTATACTGAAGATTTCTGTTTAACAGGCAGTTGAACTATGGCTGGTTGATAAAGCAGTTCTTCCCATTGAGAATTCTCTGGGTGGAAGCATCCATCGTAATTATGATTTGCTCCTCCGGCATAGGCTGCACATTGTGGATGAGGTGCAGTTGGTTGTTGACCACTGCCTGTTGGGATTGCCAGCTGTGAGAAAGGAGGACCTAAAACGTGTCTTAAGCCATCCACAGGTTAGTTCTTTCGTTTGTTAAAAGAAGAAACCAATCAGTATTCACATGGTACAACATGTCTATATTCTCTACAAATTTTTGTAAATACATGGCTCAATACTATTGAGTTTGGGCTAACATTAAGCCACTCTTGTATGTAAAGAGTTCTTCCAATCAGATTATCCTAATAATCTACTTATGAGCTAAAACATGGGATGTAAGGAATAAGATAAACGGTTAGGGAGATTTTCCGGTTAGTAGACACTTTTTTAGGGTTGGGTCCTGTCTCTTTAATATTGATATTTGGTGGTTAAAAATGGTGAATCCATGTTCTGGTTCATGCATGAATCCACAAGGATACCTGAGCTCATCTTAGAAATTGAAAGACACTTGCTCAATGTGAGATTAACTTGAGCAAGTTGGGTGTTGTTAGAGAAAGTGTAGATGATACTGCAGGAGCTGCCCAGGTACAGATTTTGCTCTTGCATGTTATTTCAGCTTTGTAGAGTTATCATTGTAGTTGCTTTGGTATAATTGTGAAAACTTCGGTTCAGTTCATAGCATCAAGTGGCCTAAGAGATGCTGGATTTGTTGCAAGTGCTCGAGCTGCAGAAATTTATGGGTTTAACATTCTTGCAGAAAGATTCCAAGTATAGTTTTCGTTAGCCTTTTTAGCTCTGTTATTTTTATCTGCATATTCCTTGAAAAAGTGACTCTGGATTCATAAATACTTTCTGGCATGCCTTCTAATGTTCTGATACACTCCATGTCTTGTCAACCAACATTTACTTTTACCCTACAAGTCTGTGTTTGGAATTTTGGACTTGGTGACCCTAACTCAAAAAGGGGATGAGAGAGGTGTAAAATAAATGAATTGTGGAATGACTACCACCTTCTTTCTGATTTGAAAATCCTCTAAAATGGAAAAAGGGCTTTACTAAACCTGCTGCTCTATATTCACCTGACTCTTCTTTTAGGGACAAACATGAAATTCAGGAAATAGTGGATTCTTGATTCCTTTTCCATCCTACATTTCTACTTCAGCTTTCTGGTTAAAAGCAACCACTTCTTTGTGATTACTCATTTTCTATTTGAGAACACTTTAACAGTATGCATCATTAGTAGCCATGACTCCTTTAAGTGAAGCCACCAATTGAGCCCATTGGGCTAAGGCCCAGTTCCATGGAGGGTTCCTACTCTAGCCAGTGTTTCACAAGGTGCACACTTCCAATTAAGTATGTGTATTGAAGGAATCCATGTCAGAAGGTTGTTACACATGTATTAGATGGAAGGAGAGCTCCATAACTGAATGTAATTCAATTGTAAGCCTATACAAGGGCATAAGGCCAGACTGAAAGCCATTGAGGAATGGACAGTATTGAAATCTTATTCTCTCTCTCTCTCTCTCTCTCTCTCTTCCTCTCATTTTTCTCTCTCACTTTTCTGTTTCTGGAGGTGGATCCCCTCAAAGGAACTCTTAGTTAGGCAGCATTCCTAACATATATCATGCAAAATACTGGATATATGTAATACGCATTTTTTGTATTACCCATTTTACTTGCCATTTATGGTAAATTCTAATTATGTTTGACAACTTAGAAATGTTTACTTATATTGATTTTGTATTTCCTAAATATCAACAAATATTTTCATTGATTTTGTTGGCCCTCAGTGTTCTTACACTTGTCCTAATATCATTTTATTCATTAGTAATGATTAAAGAGTATCACTTTATCGCATGCGATGAGAACATAGCCTCCATGCTAACAAGTCTATGCAAGATTTGGATAAAAAAATAGAAACAACTGTCATTAGTAACTATCCTAAGTCGTGTGTCCCAAAATAGATTTGCTCTCCCAATCCCTTGCCTTGCTAAGTCATCTACTAAAGAGTTTGCTGATCTTGGTATAATAATCTATCATCCATCCAATGACTACTGCGGATCCCTCTCAAGAATCATTTGGTCCCATTCTGCTGCTCCTCTAACTGCAGTGCCCACTGCCCACATAAGAAGGGATTATCGATAGAACAGCCACCAAAGTTCATTAGAATCTTGCCATTTTCTGGTGATTATTATTCTTGAGTTATGTGCTGTTTATGTGGTGCAGGACTTGAAAACAAGTCCCATCCTCTAATGTATCATTTCAGACATTTCTGTTATGCTTATTATTTTTTAATGACCAAGATTTCCAGAGTTTTATTTTCTGAACCCATTGGCTATAGTGACTTGACTCAGGAAGAATTATTAGTAGTTTGCTATGGGCTGAGATTGGCTAAATCTTGATTTTACAGACCAAGTGGTAGAAGGGGATTTGAATGTAATTGTTGTGTGGCTCACGAGAAATTGGTCAAGCTCTTGGAAACGTAGATATGTTACAAGGGAAATTAGAATGAAAGCTGGGTGGAGTGTTTCATATAGCCTACAATTGGACTCTGATCAACCAATGACTCAGTTGATGGGTTAGCTAAGCAGAGAAACTGTTGAGCAATTGGTATGGGCTCTTCTTGGTCTATTTATGCTTCCTTTTATTTATTATTTATTGGTTTGTATTGGGCTAATGGTGGGACTTTGTGCAGTGGTTTGGTTGATCCATTGCAACCTGGGTGACCAAGGTTCAAATCTTCGAAACAACCTCTCTGTGGGGGTAATGCTGCATATATCTGTCCCTCCCAAGAGCCCGCATTGGTAGGAGCCTCATGCATTGGGCCGCCCCTTTTTTTTTGTTTTCGATTAGGCCTTAGGAGTAATGGGCCCAACTTTTTTTATTCCCTTTCTTTTATACTTCTAGATAATTCTGTAATTTATTTCACATTAAAATTAAGTTAATAAAATAGAAACAGGGGGATGGGGATCAAACAAATCAACTGATCACTCGAACCCTTTCTTCTTCCTCTATTGTCCTTCCCTTCTTACTCTGGGTTGATCCATTGCAACCTAGGTGATCATGGTTCAAATCTTGGAAATCCCACCTGCAATAATCTGAAAGAAAAGAAAAGAAAAGCAAGAGAGAAGAAGAAGATTGAAGGAGATGGAGGAGAGAGAAGTGATGGAGGGAGAAGATGGAAGAAAGGGAAGGAGAAGAGTAGTTTGTTCCTCTCTTCAGCCCCCTGACAATATATTTTATTCTCTAATTGTAAAGATGAGGACAATTACATGGTTACCTTAGTAGGGAAGCCAGCACTAAAGACAATAATAAAAGAAGGAAAAGCAGGCCCACTACTAACAAACATCAGTCATAAACATAACTTAAAGAGAAAAAGAAACTAAGGCCCATTCGACCCATCAGCACATAACTTAAGAAACATAAAGAAACTAAGGCCCATTCGGCACATCATCTCTACACTCCTCCTCAAGCTGAGCATAGATGTCAATCATGGCCAGCTTGCTTACACAGTGTTGTAGCTTCACCTTGGGAACACCTTTAGTCAAAACACCTACTAACTATTGCTTTAAGGCAATAGGAAGGAAAACTTATCCTGAAGCTACCATCTCTTATAAAATGCCAATCAACTTCAATATGCTTTGTCCTATCATGCTGAATTGGGTTGTGAGGTATGTTGATCGCAGCCTGGTTATCATAGTAAAGCATTGAGGGCTTATCATGTGAAATACCCATCTTCTCCAAAAGTGATTTGAGCCATAACAACTCTGAAACACCATGTTCCATTGCCCTGTACTCTGCCTCAACTGAAGATCTGGCTACTACTGATTGTTTCTTACTTCTCCAGGAGACAATGTTCCTTGCAACCAAGGCACAGTAACCAAATGTAGTTCTCCTATCATCAATACTACCAGCCTAGTCAGCATCTGTGTTAGCCTCTAGCTTCATATGTCCATGCTTAGAGAAGAGGATACCCTTTCCCGGAGTTCCCTTCAAATAACACAAAACCCATTATGTAGTAACCATATGTGTGTCTTTGGGGGCATGCATAAATTGACTAATCAAACTAACAACATATGAGATATCTGGTCATGTCATGCAAAGGTATAGCAACTTCCCCAAAAATCTCTAGAACACTCCCCTGTCTGTTGAAAAGCTCACCATCATTAGCTAAGAGTTTGTGGTTAGCATCAATAGGTGTAGAGGCGGGTTTGGCACCAATTTTCCTAGTCTCCGTGAGAAGATCGAACACATACTTCCGTTGGAAGATGAAGATGCCATCTTTAGACCTAGTAATCGAAATCTCTCCTTGTAACTACAATATCATCAACATAAACAATGAGGAAGGTAACCTGATTGCCTTTCCTCTTTACAAGCAAAGTATGGTCTGATTGTGTCTATATATAGCCAAACCCAACAAGTGCAGCTCTAAATCTATCAAACCAAACTCACGGGGATTGCTTGAGGCCATAAAGAGATTTCTTCGACTTGCATACCTTGCACTGCATTTCCTTACCATACATACTTGGGGGAAGTGACATGTAAGCCTCTTAAGTCAAATCTCCATTTAAGAAAGCATTCTTAACATCAAACTGATATAATGGCTAGTCATAACTCATTGCCAAGGACAACGAAACTCTCACTATGGTCATTTTTGCATTTGGTAAGAAAGTTTTCATATAATCAACTCCATATACTTGAGTATACCCCTTAGAGCTACTAGCCAAGCCTTATACCTCTCAATGGTGCCATCAACATGATACTTGATTGTGAACACCCACTTACATCCCACTAGTTCCTTCCCATGAGGCAAATCCACAATATCCCATGTATTATTTTTACAAAGTGCTTCTATTTCACTTCTCATAGCCTTCCTCCATTATAGCTTAGATGATGCCTTTGTAACTAACTTGGGTATAGGCTAAGAAGAAATGGAGGCTAAGAAGGAATAATAAGATGGGAATGACAAGCTGTAAGACAGGTGTTTGGAAATACAATGTGTTGTACATTTCCTCTTACCTTTTCTCACAGCAATAAGTAGGTAGTTGTCATAATTGCATCACCCTAAAATCTCACTGGAACATGGGAGGCAAAAAAGATGCTCCTAGCTACTTCAACAACATGTTGGTTCTTTCTCTCTACCACCCCATTCTGTTCTAGAGTGTAAGGACAAGAACTCTGATGTATAACCCTAAACTTCTCAAAGTATGAAATAAGATCCTTTTCAAAATATTCCTTAGAATTATCTGATCGGAATATCTTGATATAGGTATCAAATTGGGTAAGTACAAATTCATAAAACTACTTCACAAGCTTGGGTACTTCAGCACAGGAACACATAAGGTAAAGCTAGGTGTAATGAGACAAGTCATCAATAAAAAAAATAAAATATTTATAACCACTCATGCAAGGTAAATGGTATGGACCCCACTTATCAGAGTGAACAATATGAAAAGGAACTGTAGATCTTTTATTACTTGTAGAATAAGAACTTCCACAATGCTTTGATAACTCGTGTGACTCGCAATGTAAACTTGACACTTTAGGTAAATAAAGCCAAAAAGGAAAGGCTCAACGAAGAAAAACAAATATGGCCCAAATGATAATGACAAAACATAATACAATTGATCGACTCTAACACATTTAAACAAAAAGATGCTTTTGGAGGTGATACTTGACTCTGTCCAGGCATGTCCAATACATATATCCCATTTGCCTCATGACCACTCCCAATCACCTTTTGAGATTCTATGTCCTGAAAAACACAGTAAGAAGGGAAAAAGGTCACACTGCAATTCAAGGGTTTTGTCAAATTACTAACTGAAAGCAAATTAGTGTTTAGTTTAGGAACATGAAGGACGGTGGATAAGGTGAGAGTATTCGAAGCTCTGATGTCTCCCTTGCTAGAGATAGGAGCAAGAGAACTATTAGCAAGGGAGATCTTATCTCGGCCAAATAAAAGTTGGTAGGTGGAAAATAAGTGGAACACACTAGTCATATGGTCAGAGGCACCCTACCTCTCATAGGTAGGTGGAAAATAAAAGTTGGTAGGTGGAAAATAAGTGGAACACCCTACCTCTCATAGGTAGGGTCATCCTCCACAGGTTTCTCCTTGGACCTAGTGATGTACCCCCATTTCCCTCTATTAAAAACATAAATCTTTATAGAATAAGACCAAGCCAAGAAATTAGTTCCATCCAACTTTAATGATGTTATTGCCCCTAATAGAGTCTCCACAGATCCTTTGGATCAAATCCGAAATCTATGGAGAGTTTCATCTCACCTCCAGTTCGCTTCATTGACCGAATGGAGACAAATCAAAAATCAAAATAGGGTATTACTAGTCAAGACTTACTGTCCTAAGTCCAAAGTTTCTCTTCAAGCAACCAAATCAGGGTTTTCACCGGACCTAGCAAAATGGGAGAAAGGGAGAAAGTCTAGCTGCTCCTACTAGAAGCCACAAAAACCTATCCAACTTGTATTGATCTTAATGATGATAAAAAATATTCTATTTTATCCCCAAGCGCCACTTCTAGATTGTCTCTATACCTCGTAACCAGAAAACTCTTCAGTTAGGTAGGATTTTCGGGAAACTCTCCAAGAACCTGCTTTGTGCCTCAAATCAGCACTGAAATATCTCCAAAATCCTCCTCTAACTGGATTGAACACTTGCTAATCAATTAACAAATCAACTCTCCATACAACCTATGTATGGGATTAAGGAGAAGAGAAGAGAAGGTTGGATTGCTTCTCTGATACCAAGTTGAAAATCCCACCTGCAATAATCTGAAATAAAAGAAAAGAAAAACAAGAGAGAAGAATAAGATTGAAGGAGATGGAGGAGGAAGTGATAGAGGAAGAAGATGGAAGAAAGGGAAGGATAAGAGAGAGTAGTTCGATCCTCTCTTCAACCCCCCAACAATATCTTTTATTCTCTAATTGTAAAGATGAGGACAATTACATGGTTACCCTTAGTAGGGCGGCCAGCACTAAAGACAATAATAAAAGAGGGAAAACAGGCCCATAACTAAGGCTCACTACTAGCAAGCATCAGCCATAAACATAACATAAAGAGAAAAAGAAACTAAGGCCCTTTCGGCCCATCATCTCTACACTTACCTTCTTCCTCTTTGGTTGGGTTGATCTATTGCAACCTAGGTGACCAGGGTTCAAATCTTGGAAACAGCTTCTATGTGTATCTGCAGGGGTAAGGCTGCATACATCTGTCCCTCCCCAGAGCCCTCATTGGCGGGAGCCTCGTGTACTGGGCTGCCCTTTTCTTGGTTTCTATTGGGCCTAACTTTTTTTTATGTCCTTTCTTTTATACTTCTGGGTAATTCTGCAATTTATTTCACATTAAAATTAAGTTAAGAAAATAGAAACATGGGGGTGGGGATCGAACAGATCAACCAATCACTCTATGTTTACTTCTCTTTTTTACTGTTATACTAAACTTTTTTTCTTCTTTGAACCTGTTTTACTTTTTGGTATCAGAGCAGGCCCTTTTTCTCTACTTTTTGATTTCATACATTCTTTGATCAGCGGTGTGTATGGAAAGTTAAGTTTCTGATCGTTCCTATAATTGTCACCTAGTTGGAGAGAGGTTTTGGAGACCATAAATTGAAAATTTTGAAACACAGGAAGGTCTCTTGAAGTTTTCAATACAAAACCTAGGCTGACTAGAGAGACCTTCCTTTGATATCAAAACACCTTCGGAATATTGTGGAAGTGTCTAGTAGGAGTGGCTTCTTGTTCAGAGATTCTCCTGGGTTGCAGGGTTGGTGGAACCCTAGTTCTGTTACTTCATGTTGGCTGAAGGTTAGTTGTTTTGTGTTTGTTATATCCTTTTTCAAAGACTTCCCATTGAAGTTTTGGATCAATGGAGCAATCTGAGGCTGAACTGAAACAATCAGCAGAGTCTGGTCTTGGTCAAGTAGTGTTTGTTGACAATTTCTTTAACCTAATAACTGTTGTTCGACTAGATGGTAAAAATTATCTTGAATGGTCATAGTCTATACACATCTATGTTTATAGTAGAGAGAAGTGGGATTACTTGACAAGTAGTACAAAGAAACCTGGGATGACTGATCCAGCCTATGATAAGTGGATGTAGGAGAATTACATTATAATTGTTGGCTTGTGAATTCCATGCTGCCACACATTAGCAAGCACCATTTCGGGATGGATACCACTAAGGAAGTATGGGATTGTGTTACAAATACCTATTCCCAAAATGCTTTACTTACTATTAGAAAGTTATGGCTCTTTTTGCCTCATCTGGCCTCAGTGAGGTTTATGCAAATTTTCACAGTTCGTTATTTGAAGGAAAATTAAAGTGCACGTCACTAGAGTTGGTCACAATTCAACCATTATTTATATTCCATCCCACATAAAACTCTACATAATTTAAATTGTAAATCTCATTAAATTACAACCATAGATCTTTCATCCAAGTTGGCTCTTATGACTTGTCAGATGACAGATGACACTCCCTGGTGCGAATTTCAAAATCCAAAACGTGCATACATATTGCTTTTAGGGTTAAGCATGGCAAAGCTACGGATGCTTATCAAGAAAATTGATTATTGAAAACTCTTGAACATCAAAGATAGTTTTACAATGTTTGAAGTTTCATCATATTAAGTGTCATATTCCCCAAATATATACTGACTAATATAGATGGCTAATAAAAATCTGCTCAAGTAATATATAAAGCATATTGCTAATGAATATAGGGGCCATTGCTTAGCGTGATGGTAAAATCTTGATTTGGCAAATATGAGAACATACATTCATGCCCGAGAGTGGCCACTTTATGCAAAAAAGTGTCGAAGTTTAGGACCGTATCCAGTCTACCTCTCCCAAGACCCCAGGTAGCTGAATTGGGTAATGGCCTTTATATTGCTAATGAATATATAAATAGAAAATGAAAATATTGATTATGGTTTCTTCTAATGATTGCTGTTATATGGAACTTGTTTTGGTTGTATATTTTTGATACACCACTTCCAATTTTTATGGAGTGTCTTTTCATGTGGATCTTTTGTTTTCTGAAGAATATTTACATGGTTGTTGTTGTTGTTGTTGTTTCTTATGAATGCAACTTGACTTGCTTTGGTACCATGTGATCGAGCAGGATGATTCCGACAATATTACTCGTTTTCTGATACTTTCAAGGGATCCTATAATTCCCAAAACTGACAGGCCCTTTAAGGTGGAGCTATTTCTATTGCCATATCATCTTATTGTACTTTTGGTCTAACCTTTCAAACCAATTGCAATTTTTCTTCAGACAAGCATTGTTTTCACCTTAGAAGAAGGCCCTGGGCTAATGTTTAAAGCCTTGGCTGTTTTTTCTTTGAGGGGCATAAATTTAACAAAGGTACCTTCCAACTGAATTTGATTTTTTAATTTTTTTGATAGGTTCTAAATTTGACTTTTTTTTATTATCATTTTATATCTCAATGATTACTACCTTTTGTCTTTTTCAAAAATTAAGATTGAAAGCCAACCACAGAGAAAGCACCCACTGAGGGTTGTTGATGACTCTAACAATGGGATTGCTAAGTGAGTATCGTTCTACTTTTAGATTAGGAATTTAATGTTTTATTGTTTATTGGCACTATACAAGTCAATCATGCCCTCTGGTTAGTAGAACTCAGCATTACGATATGAGTGATTCTTAAATAAATAATTGAGAAAAAAGTACTAGATAGAAACATAAAAAAGTAACTGGTTTTTACAACAACTGTAAATCAATTTTTATATGGGATCGAAAGTGATTGCTATTTTACTTATGTTTCCTGCCCAAAACTTTAATACCACTCAGATATCTGAATAACAACCTTATGGCTGGAAAACCATCTCTCACATAATTAGATGGTGCTATTTAGGTGACACATATATAACATATGTATGACAGCATTTAGTTTTATGTGGAGGATATGGCAAGCATTTGTCGATTATATGCATTGGTTATTTTACTGAATCACTGTAGAAAGTTCATATCATCCTTCAATTTGTACTATTTAAAGTGATACTATTCAATGCCAATCTATCTATTTGCTACTTAGGTCTTTTTTTTTTTATGTTCAAAATGTTGGTAATATCTTTATCATTCTCTCTTTGTAATTTTCCCATGTATAATTTTGGAAAAAAACAACTCCTACAAGATTTACAAGAAGTTAATCTTTCTAATTTAGATGTGATCCTCCATGATAAATGTCTCATTTCTGCTGACAGGTATTTTGATTTTGAAGCTTCTATGGCAGAACCTCGTGCACAAAAGGCTTTGGAGCATCTACAGGTACATGCTTTGTTTTCTATTATGATGGGCCTTCTAACATTCACCATTTTGGGGAATTAACATGACATTAACTGAACATTTTTTCCACCTAATTTAATTCATTTTTCTTAAGCTATTCCTATTTAGATGGTAATATACAATTTATAATGGGCAAACATATAAAGAGAAAAGTGCTTACTAATTTTCTCTGATAAGTACCCTTCTAAGATATATCACATTGGGTACGTCATCTTTCAAACTGTTTACTACTTTATTTTCTATCAAATATGCCAGATATAGTTGTAAATAAAAAGGAAGTTTTATTAACATTCGTTAGAGCAAATATGGTCAGTCCTTTAAAAGACATGCTTAGGTTCACAGGTGAGGTTCATTCCACATCTCACCTCAACTCAGGTGTCCTTGACTAGTGATTCATTCTTAGTTGAACATTTTTTTATGGAGATGACTGCATTGCCATCTCCATGTTCATATTCAGCCATTTTTCTTGACCTGATGGAATTCATAACGGCACAATTGGGTCCCCCATCGTTGCATTTACCGTCTTTTGATTCTTTCTGTTTCTCATGGTTGTCAAATGGGAGTTTAAAGGCAACTGCTCTTTGAGTACATTTTTGCCTCATCTGAAATGTTTGAAGGAAGCAAGACTAGGTGGCGTTTGATAAAACTGAAATCTGAAATCTGAAAAGTTAAAAAGATATTAAAAGTGTCTGAAATCTGAAAAGAGGCATTGATACTTTTCTACTTTTTAGAGGCTCTGAATACTTAACTTTGTTTGTGTTGGACCAAACCTTTAACATCTGAAATTCCCTGATTTTACTATTTTACCCCTAGAATAGACTATTTGGTAAATTTTAGCTCAATTTGTACTATTTCATATGAAATAATTTATCAAATTCAAAATAATATTGAAATAATATGAATAAAAAATAAAAAATTAATAAATAATAAAAAATACAATTAAAATTATTAAAAATAATTGGTGACTAATAAAAAATATTAAAGTAATACTTAATAAAAATAATTAATAATTAAAAATAACATAATTAAAAAAAAATTAATGACTAAAAATATATACATAATTAATACTTAATAAAAATTAAAATAATTATGTAATAAAAAATTAATAATTAATAATTTACACATAAAAATTAAAATAATTTTAAAAAATTGATAAAAAATAATAATTAATAATTAAAATTAATAAAGATAACGAATGGCTAATAAAAATTACTAATTAACACAATTAAAATTAACAAAAAAAACTAATGACTAATAAAAATAATAAATTATAAATAATTAACAATTGACCCGAAGCTGCATGGATCCTAATTACAAGAATCCAAATGGTTAGGTCTCAAGAAAATGAACTTTCTTGACTATCAAAAACTGGTGATTTGAAACTTCTAGGCGAAACTTTTCCCCCTTTCCTTGTATTTTCTGCACCTTTTTTTGGTATTATCTGATCCTTTCTTTTATATGTTCTGAGGTCACACAGTGTATTTAAACTTTTTCTTGATTTGGGTGTCTCTGAAACTATAAAATACATGCCTGGACCAATGGAGATAACATCAAAGTCATCCTCTTAGAGCTCAGACGTCCACTCAGTGCAAACAAACGAGTCCGATGGTGATGGCAATTACTGATGACAACAGTGAGACAAAAACTGGCTCTTTATTATATTTGATTATACAATGGAGACTATTACAACAAACATGCTCTCAAACCAGCGCAAACTAAGTGGACAAACAAAATCAATCTCAAACTCCCTTCCCTATTTTTAGTACACAAAATTCTAAGGGGAAAGAAAACAAAAACAAAATAGAAACCATTTATCCCAATAACTTTTCTAGAATTTGGAACATGTCCACGACTGTTGTCCTCATCCCTCTGCAACCTGTGTTCAGGCACGTTGAAGTTGAACCATTTCTCAGAGAAGAGATTTCTTTAACAGATCTATCAGAAAGAGAGGTCAAAAAACTTGTCCATCATCAAGGCACATTCATCAGCGCACCGTAACTTCTGAATTCCCTTCCCTGCAGACATTCATTGAAATTTTGTTATCCAATATTGTTTTTAGCTGACAGAGTGAACTGAAACATTTCTTGATCGGTTTCATACATGAATGGACATAGCAATCTACCACATCTTTTGTGGTCTTCAGAAGCTGGTGTTTATAGTAGATGAGAATATGTAATGAATTGAACTGAGGGTCCGTTTGATTCACAGCCAGAATTGGAATCAAGAATCAGAATCAAAATCTTTTGGAATATGAATTGGAATGGTCTATTCCCATAGTCTGTTTGGTTCAAGTCCTCTGGCAAGATTCCTACGTGGCCAATTCTTGATGAATAGGTCAATTTTGAGTAGCTTTTGAGGTGGTTATGAGAAGGATAGGTGGTTCCATACAAAAGGAAAATAGAAATGAATGGGTAGACTTTGGTTTTGCAGCATGATGGGCTTTGAGTAATTGCAGGCCAATTCTTGATGAATAGGTCAATTTTGAGTAGCTTCTGAGGTGGTTATGAGAAGGATAGGTGGTTCCATATAGAAGGAAAATAGAAATGAATGGGTAGACTTTGGTTTTGCAGCATGATGGGCATTGAGTAATTTCATGGGCCTAAGCAATGAAACCAAAAGAGAAATGAAATTGAACAGAGGAAGTAGAGGATAAAGAGGAAGTAGAAAAAGAAATGAAAACAAAGATGACAAATTTATGGTTTGTCATCTTCTAATGGGGAATGGGTTATGCCAGAAATCAGAACACAGGAATGATTAAAACCTTTTGGAGAACATTGTGATTATGAAAAGGAGCTATTTAAAACTTGAATCTTGTATCTCAAAATTATAAACTTGAATGATTGATGCCCATCTCCACCTCAAATTGCCCAATTTTTCAGTGAAAGGTCTTAGCAAATCAAGTAATATTATAAATTCATCCAACAACCAAAAGCAGGAGAGAAAAATAAAAATAAAATAGAAAAACTGTTCTTCCCTCTTTTTGCAAAAAATCTGGAACTTTCTTTATGAATAAAAATCCTTGAAGTTCTGAAATAAACTCATTGATGGATATTCAAGCTAATAAAGATGGGATGAACATAAATTGCTATCTCACCACAATTTTATCAATTCGTGCATCAGAAAATCTCAACATGAAGTACATTTTTTCTAATATATATATATATATTCCTTTTTATTCCTTGCCCTTTTCTCATCAGTGTGATGCTCATACGGTATATGTTCCAAAGAATGTAAATATGTTCTAAACTGGTAGAGATATCAGAAGGATTCAATCTTTTTTTTTTTTTTTTGGTAGAGGTTCTCCGTAGAATAGACATTCATTTCCAAAGGAGAAGACTACACAACAAAAAGAAAATAGCAGCAATAAAAGAAGAGAAGAAGAAAAACAAAACCTAAATTAAAGATTAGAGAAGGGGGCAACTGAGTCTAACACCCCTGCTGGGGGAAGTTGGATGGTGGGAAGATCCCTCAGGGCAAAGGGAGCCAGCCACCTTGGTAGCGCTTCAGAAAATAGAAACCTACTGTTCAAGTGACGCTTAGTTGTGTCATGAGCAGCCTCATTCACAATCCTAGTAGTCCAACTAAAGCTAACCACAAATGAACTAAAGAACATTACAATCAAAAGGCTGCATTTCCAAAAAACGCAGATAAGCAAAAAAAAAAAAGAAAAAAAGAACAAACCAAAGTAAAACAAATACAGAGCAAATCCTGGTTAAAAGTTCATTAGGATGCTTGATGAAACAACAAAGAAAATGGAGAAAAATCCAAAATAAAATAAACGCAGATAACAAATGTTAGACAGTTTTGTATGCCCTTAGCTTCAATTTGATTTGATGTACTTTTGTTATTTAGTGGAAATAAATAAAGTGCATGTTTGATTCATGTTGTTTGGTTTAATTCTGTACAAAACCCTAAAACTGGACTTTTA